ACATTGTTTCGTTCTGCTGTGCATGGGGTCGCTATGGGTCGGTTCCGACTCGATGGTACCTGACAACAACAACAACAACAACAGGACCAGCTTTGGGCTGATTTTGAGTTTAATTCTCATCCCTGCTTGTGAAGCTAGAGCAAGAGGTCATCCGTGGTCTCCATGCCATTTTTGTAGAGTTTTAATATTGAATATTTAAAAAACAATTTCATGTCACGTGTATTAAAGCATTTGGTTTTAGTTTTCTAAAGTTTCTAAAAGATTTGACAGCAGCTTCATTATGTCTCAAAGTAACCTGTGTTCACATTTGATACAAGCGTCACATTTGTTGCTTGTGATAAATTATCAGATCTGATTGGTTGATACCTATACAATACTGATTATTAAATATCTTTAATATTGTTGCTGCTACTACAGAAAGCTATCACATACCAAATATTATCATTTTCTAAAATTATTTCATTAAGGTAAAACATTTTATAGATGGTATTATTGTTTTAAATTCCAGATCTATATTATCCAACCACAAAATACACTCTTTGATAACCTACTATCACTGAAATCTTTGTTTTTGAGCAAAATAAATTAATATCATTTGTTGTTAGGTGACATCAAATTGGTACCGACTCTTAAAGACCCTATGCACAAGAGGACAAAATACTTCCCAGTCTTGTGCCAACCTCACAATCTTTGCTACAGTTGAGTCCATTGCTATTGCCACTGTGCCAATTAATCTCATTGAGGGTCATCCTCTTTTTCACTAACTCTCCACTTTACCAAGTATGATGTGCTTCTCCAGAAACTGGTCCCTCTTGATAACATGTCCATAGTATGAGAGGTGAAGTCTGGCCATCGTGATTTCCAAGGAGCATTCTGGTTGTCCATGGTACTTTTAATGTTCTCCTCTAACACCACAGCTCAGATGTATCAATTCTTCTATGATCTTCCTTATTCCCTGTTTAATTTTCACATGCATAAGAGGTCATTGAAAATACCACGGTTTGGGTCAGGTGCACCTTATACTGCAAACTGACATCTTTGTTCTTGAACACTTTAAAGAGATGCCATGCAATAGATGTGCCTAATGCAATATACATCATTTGATTTCTTGACTGTTGAGTGATAATGGTTGATATGAGCAAAATTAAGTCTTGGACAACTTCAATCTTTACTCCATTT